CCGCACCTCGCTCAGCCAGTGAGCGGCCGGTCTGTATGTGGGATCCGAACCCTCGGCGGGAGCGCCGCCGCGCTTCCCAAGCGGCGCACCGTAGCAGTGCACCACCGGGCCGGCCCTACAGCACTTCTAATAAAGGAAGATGTTGTATATCCAGAGAGGTAGTTTAATATCAGATGTGATAACTTAGGGGTTGGCAAACTTTTTCTGCAAAGGGCAAAACAATAAATATTTTATGTTTTGTGGGCTGTGTGGTCTCTGTTGAAGTCACTCAATTCTGCCATTTTAGCCCAAAAGCACCCACAGACATAGACAAATGAATGAAGTGCCTGTGTTCCAATAAAACCTCAGTACAGAAAAAGGTGTGGGCCAAGGTTGGTCTGTGGACAAAAGTTTGACAGCCTCTGGCTTAGAATATCCCTATTACAGTTCTCAAGTTAATTTCCGTGTCTGTGGAAGAGGGTGGGTGGGGGTATGTATGTGTGTGTGTCGGAAATATTAAATGATTACAGTACTTGGGAAGGAAATATTTCAAATTTCTTTTTATTATTAAAAAAGTTCACTTGGTAAAGTAAAAGAATAAAAATAAGCCAAGACATCGAAAGAGTGAAAAGATAGCCAATAGAATGGGGAAATACAGGCCGGCCCGGTGGCGAACTGGAGAGTGCGCCGCTTGGGAGCGCGGCGGCGCTCCCGCCGAGCGTTCGGATCCCATGTGGAGACCGGTTCCCCGGTGCGGGCGTAACACTGAGGGTTGCGATCCCGTTGCCGGTCCCCGGTACGGGCGCGACACTGAGGGTTGCGATCCCGTTACCGGTCAGTAAAAAAAAGACAAAAAGGAAAAAAAAAATAGAATGGGGAAATATTTGCAAACCATATATCTGATAAGGGATTGGTATCCAAAATATATGAAGAACTTGTACAATTCAACAACAAAAAAATTAAAAACCCAGTTAAAAAACAGACAAAGAACTTAAACAGACTTTTCTCCAAAGATGATATATGAATGGCCAATAAACACATGAAAAGATGATCAACATCACTAGCCATTAGGATAGTACAAATCAAAACCACAGAGATACCACTTCATATCCATTAGCATGACTTATTAAATAACAAACAGAATAACAAGTGTTGGCAAAGATGTGGAAAAATTAGAATCCTTGTGTACTGTTGGTGGGAGTGTAAAATTGTACAGGCACTATGGAAAATGGTATGGCAGTTCCTCAAAAAATTAAACATGAGTTACTACATGATCCAGCATTTACATTTCCAGGTACATACCCCAAAAAATTGATAGCAGGTAATCAAACAGATACCAATGTTCATAACAGCATTATTTACAATAGCCAAAAGGTAGAGAATCAAGGCAAGTGTCCATCGATGACAGACAAACTAAATGTGGTGTGTGTAAACACACACATACACACACACACACAATGGAATATTATATAGCCATAAAAAGAATGAAATTCTGACACATAGAAGAACCCTGAAGACATTATGCTAAGTGACACAGCCAGACACAAAAGGACAAATACTATATGATTCCACTTATATGAGGTATCTTGAGTAATCAAATTCATAGATGCAGGGGCCGGCCCGTGGCTCACTCGGGAGAGTGCGGTGCTGATAACACCAAGGCCCCGGGTTTGGATCCTATATAGGGATGGCCGGTTTGCTCACTGGCTGAGCGTGGTGCTGACAACACCAAGTCAAGGGTTAAGATCCCCTTACCGGTCATCTTTAAAAAAAAAAAAAAAAAACATAAGGAAAGATGCTGAATTTTGACAAATAAAAATGATAAGGTCTTTTATCTATTAAAAATAGTCAAACAAGGGTTGGCCCGTGGCTCACTTGGGAGAGTGCGGTGCTGATAACACCAAGGCCATGGATTCGGATCTTATATAGGGATGGCTGGTTCGCTCACTGGTTGAATGTGGTGCTGACAACATCAAGCGAAGGGTTAAGATCCCCTTACCGGTCATCTTTAAAAAAAAAAAAAAAAATTCATAGAGGCAGAAAGTAGAAGAGTGGTTCCCTGTGGCTAGGGGGAGGGGTGAATGGGCAGTTTCAAAGGCAGAAGATGAAAAAGGATATGGATGGTGGTGATAGTTGCACAACAATGTAAATGTACTCAATGCCACTGAACTGTTCACTTAAAAATGTTAAATGTTATGTATATTTTGCTATAAAACTACTCGAAAAAAAGGAAATCATTTTACACATTGCATGCAATAAAAAAGTACCTAAAACAATGTAGAAAAAGAATAATAAAGACAGATTTACTATAGAAGATAGCAAAACATATAATTAAGTAGAATTAAATTAAGAAGGTGTGGACTGACACAGCTACTGTTAAAACAGCCAGTTGAAAAATAAAAAGCTCCAAAATAGCTCTGGAAAATAAGCATACGATTAGGGAAACATTCTATCAATGAGGATGGATCATTCACCAAGCAGTGTGGTTATTAGTGGCAATATTTGTGTGGAAAAAATTAAGA